GGCAGCAGAGATATAAAAAGTATGCTTAAAGAAGAGGGACCTCTAAGCCATCTTAGAAGAGAATCACTGCATGGAAACAAATAATAATGGTGAGAGAAGGGAAAGGCAATGCAGCAGCTGCAACAGCCAATTTTCCCCACAGTCAAAATATCAGACAGAATGACACTGATGGGCTTCAGGTTGCAGCTGACTTTTAGTGGAACTTTTCCTGATTGGTACACTTCAGAGTAAAATCAAGTTCAACAACAAAGACCTAACTCTTGTCACAGAAGTCTGTGCATTAGAAACTGGGTTAATCACAACTCTGAAATAAAGATTCTTTCATTGTGTAGCTCATCTCAAGAAAGGCTTTATCAATTACAAAACTTACCTTCCTCACACATCTGAAATGTGTAAGTTGAGAAATAATTCCTTGGATTTATAGCTGTTCAATGGAGTAGAACCAGAACTATTTTGCTCAATATTTTCACAATCATTTGGAATAAAATTTTTGGTAATGGAGTTGTTATTATTCAGGAGTAGGTTGCTTTGGAGTAGTCTAGTTTATCCTATTGTACAAATAAAACTGAACAAACACAGTAAGGCCAAATTGAACATTTTACAGAATGGGGATAAGTGTGGATTTATGGTTGCTAATAGCAATTTCTTAATATATTCTCTCACTTTGCTATGGCAAACCTGCAATTCTTGGGCCAGGCAGATGCAGAATGTATCAGATTAGTACCTTAGGGCATGGAATACAATTCAAGGATGTATGTATGTATGATACAATACATACAAGGACGTTTCATTATAAACTCAGGGAAGCAAACTACATCCTCGACAAACTCTGCTTCCAGACATTGCTGAGGCAATTGATAATTCTTTATGTCTCATGTGAGGATCACGAGAGGAAATCTCTGGAACTAGTCATTAATCAAACAAAAGCATAACACAGAGCTAAAATTTTCTAAATGGTGCCAAAAGCATTTGTGGAAATTTGCAATGACAACTGATGAGAAACTCAATGCCTAGAGGGAGGGAGGGTTGTGGCTTTCCTCTGGTTTTGCTTTGGCTTTTTAAATTTTGTTTTTCACTGACTGCTATAGAATTGTTGGAAACTGGAAAATCTTCCAGTCAATCCTTTGTAGAAAAGAAAATCAATTTTACAAACAGTTTCTATTATACTGGCAATTTTCCTGTAGTTATACAGAATGAGATTTATCCATTCCAACAATAGGTTTCCAGCTAAAGAAGAAAACCAAAATATAAGGCAACAGAATGGGTCTGGAATAGAGTGGGGTGGGATGAGCCACAATCAGAATGCACTTGGCAAGAGAAAAGGGTATTAAATTGGCTTTAAAACATGAAGGAGAATGTCCCAGACATTAGGGCAAAAAGGCAAAAAATAGGAGGGAAAAAATGAGTGAAGAAACTCTGGTAGATAGCAGCAACTGCCTATGTCTAATTAGCCTTAGCTAAAATGGGAGAAGTGTATTCTAACAAGCCCTTGTGAATCAGCTATCAGGTACAAAGAGAGACCTCACTTCTCAGGTTCCTGGCATAAAATGATATATTTTGGACATTGCCTAAAGAAACAGGGCTAGCTATGGGATACTGTACTCTAACATGAAAAAAAACAGTTGCAGTAATCAAGGCCATTCGCCTTAATTCCCCTATGCTACCAAACCTGGATCCTTCCTGTCCAAACAATCCAGGCAGACACAGTCTTCAAGGCACTAATACTTATTCTTATGATACTCACTAGTCCTTAAATTACAAGTTACTTCAGGTACATTCATCCTTAAAGTTTTCACGCTGCAGTGTCAGGTACAGTACTTATTCTCTTCCCACTGATTTTACCAGGGTTGGCATTCGAGGCCTAATTTCAAATTATGGTCACAGCTTCAGATAATGCAAAGTGTCATTTTTGCACCAGCTCAATCATTGTGATAAAAATATAATTATCTGCCAATCCACTGGAAATCTTCCTACTTCAGTGATTTACATGTGTCACACAATTTTGAAATTCATGCTACAAAGAGCTCCTTAAAAAAGAGACCACCTTATAAGAAAAACAATTGGTGACATCCTGCCTAGTGAAGCTCAACAAGTTTCTGTAATGGAATTCCCATTTACACCCACACCAGTCTGGTGACTCAACTGCACTGGTGGAAACAAGACTGTTTCTCCAGATCAACCAACACTTAGAGGCAAAGACTCTCACACATTCCTGGATGCTCCAATCCAAACCCTGATGTGCAGACAGACACAACCAGAGATGATTTACAGATCACGCTGGAGTCAGGGTTGGCTCACAGATAAATCAGTCCTGGTAGGACAGCACCAGTTCCAGGTATTTTGCCACTTCTTTCCAGGGAAATCAAAGACAAAAGCCACAAAAGCTTACATTGCGTGCTCAGGCAAAACTTAACTCATATGATATTAAAGAAATGACTGAAATGGAGAAAAGAACAAGAACATTCAAACATTTAAATCTCAGGAGCACATTTAGATAATTTAGAGGAATCATGACTTAAAGCATTATGCTTTGGGAAAGTATTTTCTCCAAACATCTATTTGATAAGCACTACAAGCATTAGCGTTTCACTACAAGGACAATGAATGTATGCTAATGCTTTTGTTTCCATGCCAAACCACCCATCTGGTCTCTGCTCAGAATTCTATCACACTCCTTTCTTTCCACTTTTGCCCTATGCTATATTTAAGTCAAAATTACAAAACTATGCATTATCACATACATGCAATTTATGATCTAGACTCTCAGTGTTAATGAAATTCAACAATAACAAAGAGAATGGTTGTGAATACTAAGTTCCTGATTGTTCGAGATGTAGCACTGCTTTATTGTGTTTATTGTGTTGTGTTGCATTAGCAACCTCTTCATAACAAGGAGAGACAAAAAGTCTTTGAATTAATTACCTCATTGGCAAGGGGGAAAAGAATCTTATTTTTTAATGCATCATTCATTTATCTGCTAACACATGAGATACTAATACTGTCTCATGATGATATATCACTAGCACCACCATACATGATAAGTTACCTACTAGCCATCATTACTACTGGATTTAGGTTTTATTAATATATTAAAAAGGCACCTACAAAGTCTTTTGCTGCTTCAAATATGGGAACAGAAGTTTGCATTAGAAGGTTTTCGGAGATTAGTAACCAGACTTCCTGCGCTCACTGTGAAATTTATGTGATATATTTTTAAATTAACACTAGATGTGTGTAAGTGCTTCCTGCCTGTTGTCTGAGAGTAAATGCTACAACATGAGTCATAATTATTCAGGCCATAATTTATTATATTCTACATTTCCTTTTGGTCAGCAGAAGTACTTCAGAAAGGCCCTGCTGGGATATAAATACAGTTGAAATGACCAGCCTGCTTCAGGGATTGTCTACTCTTCTAGCTTCTAGGAGAACATTTATGATCGGATCAGCTAGAACTGAAGACAGATGAAAAGACCTGATAATGGGCCTTTTTCTCCAAAGCACCTACAAAAGGGACCTTCACATTTGGGCATTCTCAGATGCCCTCATACATGTGCAACTTAAATGGCTATTTATTGTCACAGGACAAATGCTTATAGTTCCTCAGCCCCAGAGAATGTCATTAGGTGTGTCAAACTACAGCTACCAGTATATATGAAATGGCATATTCAACATAAAGTGCTCAGACAGGCCTAAGTACAGCTTTGTTGCATCAAGTAGACAGTCCTACCATGATGATTAAGTGATTACACACCATTTTGGTTGAAGCACAGTAAATATTTTGTTCTCTCTATGAGTCCATTATTCTTTTGCACATATCAAAAAACTCATGTTAAACCAAAAGCACATCCTGAATTAATGGTGATATTCAGCTCTTTTCTCAGATGCACAATTGCTTTCCAAAGAAGCAGCTTCTCATAATCCAGTCCCATGTGGCTTGAATCTAACCCAGTTACAGCACTGAAACCTTTTCCCTTTTCAGTGTCAGTACAAAGAAAGCTGGAGACTAGCTCCTAGTCCATGTTCTGGCAGCTTTAATACTGGCCTAAATAGGTTGCTGAGGATTACTTTTGGCACTGCTTGGGAAACTTAACTGATGTCAAGCCAATGTACCCCACTTTCTGCCAACTGCTTCTTGTTCTCTTCTTAATCAAGGAAGTACCATTAAAAATGCCAGGGAGCAAGATGAGGATTGGGCCAAAGCACGCTACACTCCAGCGAGCTGTGTAAGCACAAGGGATCCACAGGGAGCACTTAGAGACAAGAACAACCTGGAGTGCTACTGTAATTTGTTCTGGGCACCATATAGAGATGCCAGTGTTACCTCCAAGACTGTGCCAAATACTCTGGCAAATCTTGACATTTTGTCCTTGAGTCACTGTTTGCAGAAAAGTTCCTAAATGTTGTGTTTGCCTTCCTCTCTGCCTCCATCCGTCCATCCATCCATCCATCCATCCATCCATCCATCCATCCATCCATCCCTCAAAACTTTACCTGAAGTACCTTTCTCTCTGTGGGACCACAAACAACTGTGAGTATTTAGCTTATACCCTACACCAGACTGAGCTTTCCAGAAGTCAGAGATCTACAAAACCACAGCTTCCCTTACTGCTATGAAATTTTGGAAATAGGGCACTGCTGCAAAATATTGTCACTAAATTACAGGTGAAAGAAGGATTTCTTTTTTGATAAAATTTCCTTTTCCATCTGTTATTGAAGAACTTTCTTCCACTCTGAACTCTTAAGGGTTAACTGGCATTGGGTGGAGGAGGGGGAAATCAGAGGTCAGCTCATGTTCTGATATCAGTGAACTCACAAGTTACTCCTTAAGCATGTGGTTTCATCCTAGGTTCTTCCTGCCAGCAATTTCTCACTTTAATCATACACCCACAGCAACCCAGATCTTTAAATTCAGCAATTCTTTCTCAGGTTTCAGCAAGTCATTGGCAGCCTGAGCTATTTTTGGGATATTTTCTCTACTGCAGATGCAGCTTAGGAAAACGCAGGGAGCATGCTAAAGACCTGCAGCTATTTGCCTTGTACAATTTGCTCATTTCTCTTTATTTCTCTGTTTTCCTGCACTCATCACTTAAAGGACAACCTTTCTTGCAAACAAAATCCCTGGAGCCTGATTAGAGGGACTGAAGGCTCCCAGACACGGATTGCCTGCCAGCCACAGCACGGTAAGGACATGGACACTTTTGGCTAGCCTTGCATTGCAGCTTTTTAAGCTTTGCTGAATGTTTATTTGTGTCCATCGCTTCCAAATCAACACTGCTGGCATGGCAGGCAGTCTCCAGCTCCCGGTCTCCATTTTCATTCCCTAAAATCCTCAGCACTTGTAAGTAACACATTTATACTCACCATCTCTTTGTGTGTTTTAGAAATCAATGAGTGACACTAATTTTGATCAGTTCCAGTGATCTGGGATTTTTCTTTACATTTTACTATCTTTTGGACATCTGTAATTTGCAATCCTGATTGAAACTGTGAATATTTTATTGCCTGATCTTCCCTGTTGAAGGTATATTGTTAATTTTGTTACTTAGCTCAGCAAATTATTCAAATCAGGGAATGGTTTTATGTACGGTAGATGGATATGTTATAAAAAAGCCCTGCTCCTGATGATTTACAGTTTTATACATTGCCTTCCTGTCTTGTGCTCTGGCTCTGCTTTAATACCTTGAGGCTGCTAGAGCAGTACACTAACACTACAAAGGAATTGACAGCATAAAACCAATGCAGCAGACAGAGCTGTATTAAAAATGACTCAATTTTATCATGCAGTTATTTTATTTGCTCACAGAAATGCACCAAGTAACCTCTGCAAGAATGGTGAAATTTCAATATATTAATGTACTTTAGATTTAGTAGATTCAGGATGAGGCTCTGAAGGTGGTATTTTCATTTCTAAAAGTCTTTTAACATTTTTGAGGCAATTTCTATTACATTGTCAATGTTGCTTTGAATATAAGGCTGATACCTGAGCCTGGCTCTCTCATCCAACCTGTGAGTCTGCCTCAGTTTCACTGAAATCCCTGACACTAAATTAGCTGAATGATAAATAGGCATTAATCCTTTAATCCTTAGTTCAATTTTTATACCCAATCCCAAATGTTAGTACTCAGGTTGCTTGAAATCTTGTGACTCAACACATTTCCCAGAGACCACAGGAAGAAAGATGGATGTGTTTTAGCAAAAGTTAGCAAAGCACTCAATTGTTTACTGTTAACAGAGAAACTGTTATGTCGTTAGACAAGTGTAATTGCATGTGTACAGAACACACATGTAAAGCTAAATCACACATTTCTCTCTCAAAAAACCAATGTTGCTCTCAGCACGAGCAGAAGTCAGGTGAAGGAAGTCTTACCAACAGGACAGGTCTGTGCAGAATTGAGTCTTTTGGGAATTCAGTGAGATAAACCCAATACAGGAATTATACCTGTACAGACAACGATTCAAGTGGTGCTTGTTTGGCTCATTTTAGAAAATGTTGTCCTAAATTGTGCCACTGATAAAAATTATTATTAAAAAGGCAGTGCTTGTTGTCACAAGATGTGCAGAAATGAAATAATCTGAATAATGAAAAAACAGATGACATATAACAATTTTTTTTTGAAAACAAACTGTTGCATACAGGAATTCTCTGGAAATATAAAACCTTGTCTTTGTTAGAGGAAGAATATGGACCATGAAGATTAGCAACTCTCCAGACCTTCCCAACTGAGCATACACTCTTACTATGTCAATACTCTAATTTTTTGGTGTGCTTATATACCAAATCAGCCACACACAAGGTACTAAAATTTAATTTACTCTATAAATGAACTAATTTATAATTCAGCAGCAGCACTGCATAACTCATACTTGATGATCCTTGCCTAGAAATCAGAATATAAAAAAGACTAATGGATATCAATAATGGTAAAGGCTGAAGTGGAACCCATGGTGATGTAGAGTACAACTTGTTCCAGAGTCATAACATGAGTCAAAAACTTGGTTATTCCTCAGAATATCACAGAAGTGGGTGCCTCTAATTTTAGTGACATTCTCAGACACACTAAAGCTGCAACATGATACTGTATATGAACACAGCCATGGTAATTGGCCAGTTATATTCCATTCAGCTTGCTTAGTTTTTTTAAGTTTACACTACCATTTCAGCTTAAAAATCAGTTTAGAAAAGGTTAATTGGTCCTGTACTACTCTGCAATTGGCTAGAATAAAAGCACCCATAGTTTCAATGGCTCCACTGACATGCAGTACCTTACTACACTGTAACAATCTGCTCAGATGGCTGAGCCCTTCATTAAAATTGAAGGGACAGTTTAATTTTTCCTGTCTGTCACTTTGCACCTGATTAATTCTATTAAATCCAGTTGAGGGACTGTATTGAAAGGAGAATCATCAACAAAAGTGAATAGTGAAAGTTCTTCAAGGACTGAGTCTGAATTTTAATACTCATACAGAGCAGGGCTCTGCAACAAAAAGCTGACAAATTTAGTGGTGTGTTGGTGTATGTTGGGAGGCAGCATCAGTCTAGAGGAGGACTAACACAGAATTGCAGAAATGAGAGAAAATGTAGTAGGAAATTAAGGTGTCATTGGAGGCAGGAATAAGCAGACACGGGGGCAGATGAGGTGACAGGCTGCAGATTGTCTGCGAGGAGGCAGGGAGCTCTGCCTTGGCGAGTCCCAGCAGCTGGGCATTGTCTTCCCCGTAGCTGCTGAGCCCTGGCAGCACCAGCACTCCCCAGCCCTCTCCCAGATGGAAACAGCAGGGTGAAAATGCTCTGCAGCCTGTTTCTCTTGAATCCTCCCATCTCCATTTCTTCCCACATCATCCCACAGCTGGAGTAGGCCTTGGCCCGCTTCTGGATCTCATTTCAACCTAAACCTCAGCCTGATAACAGTTGGAGAAGCACCAGAAGGTAATAAAGGCTGTTTGGGAAGGATCAGAGAGAGGCTACAGGGCCTGGACAGCAGGGTGGGAGGAACAGAGGAATGGAGAGGTAACAGACATCCTGGAGGACTGTGCAAGGAGACAGGCAGACACACAAAGTGCAGCTGCTTCCACCTAACACTCAGAGTGTAAAACAGCTGAGAAAAAGACAAAACCATATTAGAGTACACCATTAAAGACAGAGATACTAGAGACAGTACAGCACTGACGGCATCCTATAAGTATGGGTCAGTCCCTAATTAAAACATTAGACAGTTTTTGTCACTCACAACACAGAAACATCAATGTGCATCATAACAATGAGGTGGGAGTATGAAGGCTATTGGTAAAGACATCATCACAGAGATTAATTATTTAATATGTATGAAAATGCTGGCCCAAGAACAAACAGATATAAATCAAACATAGCAATTAGAATTTGGAGAATACAATGAAGCAGTGATATGGGAGCAAGAAACCTAATTAACAGGTTTTTATGATGAAGAATGATCAATTACGAAAAGCAATGTGTGTTTCTGCAAGTTGCTGCAACATTATAATTGCTCCAGGACCGTTTCTAGGTCACTGTCATACATGCTAATTTAAGTGAGATACAAATCAGTCTTGGGGTGTGATGAATGGATAGGTGCTATAACTTTAGCAATGTTGCTCCTTTTGTCATCACTTCTCTCTCTGTACAAAGATTAAGATAACAAATGCAGCAACATCAGTCTCTTTCAGATACTCAAATAAAACTAGTACTTAATTAAAGAAGAATGAATGGCGCAATCTTGGTTCTTGTTGATATTCTGAAGAACCTTGAAATCTGTTATGAGACTGCATAGATTAGGGTATTTTGAACATATTTAGGTGTAAATAAAACCAAGAAGTTACTTCCTTGTTAAGCTTTTCCTCTATTTTTTGAAAATCAAGTTGATTTGACCATTGTCATTAATGTTACGTGAATTTCCATGATAATGCTTTGCAGGCTGCAAGTTAAGTATATCCCTGATACTACCTTTTGGCATTTCTAGACATTGTCTTTAATTAGATATAGTTGCGATGGATTCCTTAGCTGTCCCCATCAAATATGTCAACCTTTTAGTCAGTTCTCAGGGATATTTCTATGATCTTGCTGATTCTTGATTGACTTTTGTTTTACTACATATAATGATCATGATATCAATCATAAGAAATAGAATTCAAATAATTGAAAGTCCAAGTCACTAAGGAAAGTCACTGACAGATACTAATGACATACAGCAGCTCCTAACTCCAACTTACACAACTTATTATGCAACATCTTTGCCACGTCCTGTTAGTAACTGAAGTCACTAACTTTATCTAAAGCTAGATAAAATATAAAACTTCAAAGAATATAATATATCAATGCAGGAATGGTCTACTAAATATAAATACTACTTTCATCGAGGATAGAAAATGCAAGTAAAATTTGTCTCTCATTAACACTGCCTCACATTGATCTCTAAATCTTTTATGTTATGACAGTCTTTTTTGACACCAGACACATTATTAACCTGTCAGTACTCAAAATTTGAAGGCAAACAAATCATTTTTATGTTTGGCAAAGAAAAAACAAAAGGTCTCAGTCAGGAGGGAGGAAAGAGAATACTTACTATCCTTAAGTATGAGAAAGCCTTCAGATAAGATATCGATCAAGTCATATTTATGTCTAATAATTTCATCATTTTAGAGTTAGACGGAAACAAACAATATCTCGGTCTTGCAGAGCATGCTGACATCACATGGCCCCCAATTTTAGTTCTTTAATGTAGTTTGTCTGTGCTGGTGTTATTAATAGACACACTAAAATGGGAACTTCGCCCTGGCTCAGCTTTGACTCACTGCATGGCCTTGGGCATCACATAACCTCTGTCTCCAGTTCTCTATCTGCATAATGCATTTGTCTATCTAGTGACTTTGCAGAGTCATGGGTCAAATAAATGAGCCACTTCACAGAATTTTTAAATTGAAATACACTGGCTTGTCTTCTGCACTTTTATATTTCCCTGAATTTTAACATAAACTCGCCTTTTTCATAAAGGCAACCAAAGTGTTTAAATAAACAGAAGAACTATTTAACATTTCCAAATGAAAATCTCCTTGAACTAAAAGAATGGAACCACAGCCACATAAGACAGCTTGTCATCTCACAGCCCAAAATACCTTTATGTGATGCTTTTTATAAAGTTATTTACTGTCCAGGGGAGAGGGAAGAAAG